CCACGAAAATCTCCCACCGTTAGCCTGACGGTAAGGGGACTCCAACCCATGATTCGTTTACCATGGAGGATATTTTTACGTCAGCACTGCGGTCGGTGCACGCCGGAATTCTTTTCGACCAGTCTTCATTGGGATTCGAACCCGGTTCACCTCATTGGAAGGCGAACGCTCTATTCCCTGAACCATCACGGCTCAATTTTAACTTTTTCTGTCAAGAAATAACAATTATTGAAAAGCAATCATCGGGGTCAGAGAGCGGCAGCGAACAGAGGGCTACTCTATATCAGAGTTTTTTTTTGGAATGGCCGTAGTTAAAGTTTCTATAACTACTTCCTATAATAACATAGATTAACCTGATCACATTTTAAAATTAATGTTAACATGATAATTAACAATGAAGAAAAATATTACTACCATAATGTGAATACGTTTTTTTAATTGTAAGTAAGAAACTCTTTTTAATTTTTTGTGTGCAGTTGCAGTTTTATTTCTGAATCTACAAATTAAGTTCGGCCGACTTGAGCCAACAAAAAATTATTTTCTTCCTTAAATAATAAGAAAAATTTTTAACTTTCTTGCACTAAATAAAATTCCATTAAATGCACTTTCAAGTTTTTACGTATAAAATTACGCAGATTTCAGCAAGCAAAAGAATAATGTCCTGGCTTTCTAAGATAATGTTAAATCCAACTTAGAAAATCTTACTAAAACATAATATATTTGGTTAGTAGCAATTCCCTGCGCCTGTAAACGCCGTTTTTCTTTACAATAAAAAAAATTACATAATGTAAACACATTTTTCTTTACTATGTAATACTCCGCCTTTGAAAAGTAGTTCTTCGCTATTTTGAAATGAATTGCAGTTTAAATGAGCGTACAAATATAAATAAATGTTGTATAGTAAGAAAAGTTTATCTTAAAACATGCATTAGAAACTTTTCATGTTTAAATGTATTTAACTTATAAATACCTTCTCAGTGAAGCGAATGTACAAAGAAAAAGGAGGTGTTTTAGTTTAGCGCTGAATCAGTTTTAAAGGCCAAGCGGAATTGGCGCGTTGGCTATGTTTTTACACTGGTCAGCCAGCTCTTTCCATTCTCCTTGCCTTTGCTTGAGTGTTCTATCTCTTGTGCTGTTCTTATTTTGCTTTCTTTTTGTATTTGACTGTTTAATTTTCTAAATATTAACCTCATATGTACAATATTTAATGAAAAAAAATTTCCCCACAGAATGAATGAAAAAAAAACCACCCAAATAGGCAGGTGAATATTATTAAACTGATGACAGTTGAGCATATTTGCCGTAGAGCTAATTTAACATCTGATTTTATTATTTTTTTTTACGACAAAAGTAAAAATTGTTTTGGCTTTATTCAATCTTTGTAAAGATTCAAATTTAGTGTCTTTTGCGCCATGTGTAGCTCTGAAGTACAATTCGCTTTTTATAGGAACTGTAATAATGTGATGGCGGAAATTTAAGATTTTTAGTCTGTTTAATTAAAGGGACTTTTAAATATTATCCGAAATACAAATTCCATAATATAAGTGCGCAAATCCGTTAGTTATAAACAAATAAAATGTATAGGAATTGAAATAATTTCAATAAAGACACAAAATTTGAATCGTTAATTTTTTTTTAAACATCGAAAGGTTAATTTAAACCAATCAATATTTTAATTATTATTTTTGAAATACAAAGCCAAAAAAGCTGAGAATTTCTTTCTCTTACATAGAAAATATTAAGATATTTCAGTATCTGACAAAATATTTCGAGACTAACTAATTCTACTATACTTAAATAACTAATTATACGGATTTTTGTCTTAAGCCTCTTATCACCCGCAACGATCCTGAAAAGTAAAGGAAAGGTTCTGATATTTTAAGATATGTATTTTCTTTTGAAAAAATGTGCCTAACCAACCAAGTAGAATTTCTCCTGATGAGAAATTGTGGATTGAATTTAATTCTGGGCGATCCCACAAATAGTTTGCAGAAGGAACTGTCAACTGTTAAAATATTAAATGAATAACATGATAACCACCAGGATAGGTGGTCAAAGAGTTCCTGTTGAGTCTAAGAGGGTGGGATGTAATTTCCTGCCTATGCTGACTTTTCCTTCCCCAACAAAACACCAATGTGGGATAAATTAATGTACATTAATTTACAAAAAAATAAGAATATAAAAATAAATATTTAAAACAAAGTATTCATGCGCATCTATGTATTTCTTTTCTTTTTTACTTAGATTTCAGCAAAAAAGAATATTTTTAAATATATATATTTTTTCTGTTGTTTAAAATTAGTATCATTTAGTTAAAAAATCGTAATAAGAAAATCTGCTTTTTAAATATTAATTAAGAAATGAGCTTACAACTAGTATCTTAAAATAATAATTATTAGAATTGCTCTAAAAAATCGTGTTCTTTTCCGTATTCTGTTCAAAATTTTATTACGATTCTTAGTTTTTTAAAAATAAAACAAATTCGGCGTTTTGCTTTCTTAAACGCCAATACTGGCCACTTTCTCTCCCTTTTTTGCTACCTCATCACCCAACAGACTTAAAGAGTATCCTAGTTTCCATGACAACGGCTGTAATCCGATCTACCTGCCTTTCTCTCCAGTGCCAACTTAGGTAGATTGGACTATACAACTTGCTTCATTGGTACATGTTACTGCCATCTTCTGGCAACTGCTAAATTAAAACTTGAATACTTTCGGAATAATTTCATATGTTCTTTTTTGCCATATTCGCAGTGGCGAATCCAGCGGGGGGTCATAAGGGTCATGAAAAAAAAACTCGAAGAAAAAAAATAATAATTTTTTTAAAGTTTACGAAAGAAATAAAATATTTCAAAAATTATTTAAAGGGGCATATACACCTAGGTAGGTCGAAAAAATTGGTTTTCACCCCCATCTAATTATGTTCTTCACTGTTTTAAGAATCATAATCCAAAAGATTAAAACGAAATTCGTCATAGTTTCATTGTAAACATTAATAATGTTGAAGCGCGCTTCAACAGGTTTAATCAAAGATTGCATAAAAGTGAAGATGGGAAACTTGCGAAACTCGTAAATAAAATCTGGCACCATGCTTGAATTATTAATACTTGGAATTATTTATGTATTGTTCTATTGTTCATTATGAAAAAAATAAATTAGAAGACTAGCATTAAAAAACCCAGTTTTTTTTCGAAAAAATGTTTTTAAAAATATTTTTTTATAAAAAAAATTAATTGTGTGTGGGGGGGATCTGAGTCTATGACCCCCCCCCCCCCCCNGAAAATATTTGGATCCGCCCCTGCATATTCGTCTTCTTTTTTTTACTATAACGCTTCGAAACCCCGGAGGGAATTATGAATAACCCTGTATAAATTTATCAGATGCATTTTTGTCGACTATATTTTATTTAAAACAAGCGGTAAACGAAAAGAAACAGTTCTATAAATGCAATTAATTTTTGTTTTTAATCAGTTGTTTTAGATATAAAAATATACTTTTACAGAAATAAATCCCTGTTTTTTTTTTCTTTTTCTATATTTTTAATTTAAAGTTAATCGAAAAATTTAGAGTTATACCATAACTTAGCATTTGCGACGAAAGATTTTAATAAATTTTTACATTTTACGAAACTCTTGTCACAGGTAATGACAAAAAGTTAGATGAGTTAAAATTCTATATTTATTTCAATAGAGTTTAAGAAAAACAAATTATAAGCATAATCAAAGAAATAAAAACAAATTCACCAGTTCTAAATTTGTTTCTACGCTTTACATTTCAAAAGTAAATAAACTAGGTTAGATTTATGGGGAAAATTCACTGAATTCCTTCAAAACACAAAAATTTCTTCTGATCGTGTATACGCTTTTTTGAAATGATTTTTCAATACAATGATTTACCTTTGATACTAGTAAAATAGTAATTGTAAATAGTAAAATAGTAATTTTAATTTTTATTTCGTGCTAACTTTGACTAAAAACGAATTGATTTGCTGGTAGGTATTTCTATTAATGAGTTCGAAATGTTGATTAATTATTTTACTAAAATTGTGGATAATATATATAACATAATAGATAAATACAAAAAGGATAAAAAGAAAAAAAAAAGCTGATGAAAAGATTATATCTTTTATTTTCCGGATTTTTATTTATTTTTCCTATTTTCGGAATTTTTTTTATTGTAATTATTTTTTTTTATATTTTTATTTTTCCCTTTTTTTATTCTGAAGTTTTTCCATGTTTTCTCTACATGTCACGGCGAAAGATCGAATATTTCATTACATTCTTGTACATTCGGACCTTCACCGGTGTATGTCGACAATCACAGGTGAATGTCCGAAATATTTATTACATTCGATTTGATATGGATTTATTCGTGGATATCATTACATTTATTCGATATTTTAATACTTATTGACGATAGATCAGAAGAAACATCAGTGTTTGGAGTATCGGGCAATGGCACTTGACCTTAAAAAAACGTCAGTGTAGGGTATACCGAGCCACTTAAGGTTAAGTGCCACTGCCCGGTATACCCTACACTGATGTTTTTTTAAGGTTAAGTGCCACTGCCCGGTATACCCTACACTGATG